TTTATTTAATAATAATAATAATGATAATATTCCTGGCTTGGATGAACCAGGATGAAGACTTACTTCTGACAGAAGAGAGGAAATTTTCACTAGCTATTTAACTGTCAGTAGCACTAGCTCATTTTTTCTTGCTTCTTTTCTGAATACAAAAAACACGACCACAATAATATCAGCAATCAAAGGCAATCTTATCATAGTATGACTTTCTTTTTTAGTTGCTATTTCATGCTGTGTTTCCTGTTTATATATTTGTATGTGTTTTGAATGCCACAGAGCATCAAGTCCCTCAAACAAATACCACAGAACCTGAAACCTTTCCAGCTTCTTGGATTAATGTATTTATAATTTGCTTTCAGTGCATGTTAAATATCTGGCAGACTCCATCTGGGGTCTGATTCAGCATTCCTTGTTCTCGGAGATTTTAACTACATTGAAGTCATTGCTTCAGGAGCAGTTAATTCTCACAGTGTCAATAGGAAAACAGCTTTGTATTAACTAAATTCAGAATGGTGCAAGAGTGCATGCAACAAAATGTGCGTTTTATTTTGCAAAACTACATACTGGCCCTATTTGCAAAAGAAAACCTCTGTGTTTCTACCTTCTGTACATTTACACACAATATTCTAAACTCATTACCACATTTAAAGAATCACTAATTTATAAAACCAAATGGGGTTCTAGCAACAAAAAACCAAGATCCAAATAATGGTTGGATGAGAAATGTGCAAAAATCAATTTAAAACCTCTGGGATGTATAAAAATAATTATGCCTATTATTCTTAAATTTCTTCATGAAAAACCAAAAAGGAAGTATAAAGCTTTACTGAAAAAAAGAAAAGGAAAGCTCAACAGACATTTTGAAATCAGTTGATCCAGAAATCAAAATATCTACCAGTCTCCAGAAAAGCCCTGTAGGCATTCATTAACTCGAAATAGTTCTTGAGTCTGATTCTAGAGAACCATTATGGGACAAATTGGAGACCCCATCTATTGATTGGCATCTGCTTGCACATATTATATTGTTGAGCAATAATACTCATACCCAAATAAAGTCAGCTTTCTGCTAGTTCTCAGAAAGTTTCACAGCTGTGCATTTTAGCTCCTTTTCTATTTAATCTTTATGATATGGTAGAAAAACTCACAAATCCAGAACATTATTTGGGCCAGCAGACCTATTGTTTTAGTTTTATAGTTCAATGATGTAGTAGTGATTATCACATCTTCACCTACTACACTGAGGAGGGCATTAAGATCAACTATCTCATATTGCCCTGATAATGACATATTTATTAATTTCAAAAAATAAAAAATATGTTTTTCTCAAAATGATAGAAACATAGATGGTGAATTAGCAGAAATGTTATTTAATAGGTTCAGTCCTTTAAATATCTTGGAGGCTACAGGCACTCAAAGGGTCCAAATTGAATCTTTGAATGAAAATGTAAAAAAGAGCGTAGCTGTCATCTTAAGATGGATGCACAGACAGACAAACACTATGTCTATCACCCCAGCAATGCTTACTTTAAAAAGAATTTAAGTTTACTTAGGTTTGGGGATATGAATTTGGACATAGGCAATCCTAAGCAGATTTCTGAGTGCTCTTTCCCCTTTCTAAGAAATGTATCCAGATAACAGTGCAGAACAAATGAAAAAAAAAAAAGATATGGAATTAATCATCTAAAATTGTCCCCCAACTCCCATCACTGTGCCCAAAGTCTTTTTTTTTTCTCTTCCTTGTTTAGAGTGTTTGTTTCTATCAAATTCTTTTTTGTAATTTGGATGGCTTAATTTCTGTTAGAAAATAGGGAGCAATATTGGTGTTGCGGTTTTTATGTAGCCAACAACTCCATCTCTCTGCAGCCTCCCTGCTGCTCATGCTTCTGTTTGAAAAAGCCCAATGGGAGCAGTTGTCTTTATGTTAAATTGAAGTGTGAGAAGTTAGGAAGGCTGGAGACCACAAAGAGATTGTACAAGAAAAGAACAGACACCTTCTAGCAGTCCTCAGCCACTCACTGCATCTAAAATAAATTCTTTTTTCCTCCTTAAAAAGTGAAGGAAATCATTTTTGAAGCATATATAATCTGGATGTCACTATTTATTATTTTTTCCTGTCTGCCTACTCAAAATACTTTACTGTATCTCATGTTCTATTCTATTGCATTGCGATAATGAACAGAGTGCCTTTATTTTCTCTAGGCAAACTGAAGACTTTGGTAGCAAATCTTCCAGAATCAAAATGAACACAGGTATGCATTTTCATGGTGCAAAAAATAAGCATATTGTTTAATATAAGTTACGGCTGTTTTGAAGAACTTTACATATGGTTTTTGCTTTCTTATATTTGTGCATATGAAGTTCTGATGTATATTTCTCAAGATACACTTATGTATAAATATATGCATTTATACATGCATAAGTAAATAAGCATCTGCATTTCATTTCAATATATTTTCAGATATTTAGTAAAATATATTGGGGCAAAGAACATATCCATAACAGTGGCATAAATCAAGATAGTTTTTTTTAATGGTGAACCATTTACTTTTACAATAATTTAATTATTGCTTACTTATTTTGTTTAAATTCATCTACTTGAGTATTTTACATTTATAGTGTGTGAGATAAATTATATATGCCTTACATTATGGCATTTTGGAAAATTATATTTAAAACGTCTTGAGCAGCATGATGGCCTAGTGATGAAGACATTCACCTCCCATTCAGAAGGTTGAGAGCTCAATCCTAGGCAGGAACAGATATTTATCTCTCAGGGCACAAAGAATGTGATCTCCATGTAGGCATCAGGAAGGGCATCTGGCCAATAAATGTTCAGCTCCATTCAGTCACCCAGACTCTGAATAAATATCTTGGCCACAACCCCCTCCCACAAAACATAGCCCCTTTTGCATTCCTCTGTATCATAGTCAGCAAGGAGAAGTAGAAAGAAAATCATAAATATGTAACCAAGTATATGAAAAGAAACATATGGGAGGAAGAAGTCCTTAAGAGTTAATGTTCTTTCTGCTGTTTTTGAGGCAGCCAAATGGGCACATCATTCTCTATATTAAGAGTAGAAAGAGTTTGGAGTACTATAAAGGTGAAACCCAGAGATAGCTGATTACCCTAAAGTTCTACTTTAGACCATAACTACACCATTTAGTTTTCTAAAAACATTAATTAGAGGTTCAGCTCCATTGAAATAAGATATAATCTGAATTTGAGAGGAAATTTACTATCAGGCCTTTAAGCAGTCACCTTAAAAAACCAGAGATCAAGTATTACCTATTTAAAAATCCTGTATCCACACATTACTCCAAAACCAATTAAGGATTAATCTGTATTATTGAAGGAACACAACCATTCTGTTTGTAATAAAAATTAGTGGAAATCCTTTTGAATTCTATGACTGGTATTAAGTATATCCACGAAAGTCTCCTATCAAAATTAAAGGGATTCACCAATACTTAGGTTTGGCTGTGTGCTGTCCATCTCTTAAACTGTCTTTAAACAAAATAAATGTTCCATTTCTCTCAGATTTCCACATTATATAGACGTACAAGCAATCCAATAATATTCAGATGATTTGGTTTCACTGCCATTATTGTTAAACATTGACCCAGCAGATGAAAATTGAAATTAAAGCATCTAGATTTCAATATATGCCAACCTTTATTTGAGATATTACTCCCGACTGGGGACTGCTGATTATGAGGCACCTGAGCAAGCCTATTATTATTCATTTAAAGCAGAATGAAACACTCACTTTTCCTATTGCCTAGGACAAAACATATATAGTGTGTAAAATACAAGATTCATGCACTGTTTTCATATCCAGATTTCTCAAGCAAGTGAATCATTTTTCATAAATGGAATTTTTTAATCATTGTATTTTACGAACAATATAGGCATCAATAATTTGATTCTAAAATTATTTTTATAAAAAATAATTATCAACTATGAATGCATACTTGAGAAATAATTCAAAAAGGCTTAATATAAATTATTCAATTGCAGATCTGAACTCCTCAACCAATTTGCAAAAACTTGATAATTTAACCTCCTTTTTCTGGATTCCAGAACAAAAATATTTTTATTCATAAAGAACTGTCTGTAGCCGCAGCATTGCTTCTTCCATTCCATAGTAGAACAAACCACTTGTAGGGATTTTAAAAGCTGATTTCAAAAATCCCTAAAATGCTACTTGCACAATGTTCAGCAGAGATAACACATATCCACAATCTATAAATAAACATTCTCTCACCAGAAGTAGAAAGAATTCTTGTCTTTAACTTTAATGAGATTAAACACTTTAAATCCAAGTGCATTAATTTAAAATGGATTTAAGTGGCTGGGTAGACCAAGCTTTCCACTTATCTGGATTCCTTCTAAGAACATAACATTTCAAATAATTTATAAAGTGGGCAGACTGTTTATATGCAACCCTTTTTCTCACATAGATAATGAATAGCCCAAAGTTAATTTGCTTAAATGGATCTTTAGTGTCCCTCCATAAATTTTTAGGCATGAATGTACAAGGATAATATTGTGATAAATGCATCTCGGTTTAAAATGATTTAATAATCCAACTGCTTTATAATAAATGAAATACATAAATACAAACCCTGTTAAAAACAACTACAGTCCTTGGAGAGTGCAAAAATATATGAGGTTTAACTTTGTTAATGTTAAATCATCATGCAGAGTTGTTACCATTCATCTTCTATGCTCTCAAAACACATCAAAATAAGTTAGCAGGTTATATGCAACACTGAATAAACAGTTTGTTTTGAGAACAGTTCCTAAGCTTAGAGTAGCATGTCCTAGACACTCGGCATTATTATCCCAAAGACCAGCTATTTTAGATAGGATCTTTATTCTTTCTTGGTTAATCAAAATCTTCTAGGCTTTCTTTGATTTTGAATGTTTGCCTGCCATCATATAAACATGTAATCAACCAAGCCTGGATTTCCTTTAGATGCAGTAGGCATTCCCCTTGCAGTTGGCTTTTCCTTATTCACTATTAATGGCTGTTGGTTTTGCCATGAAGTTGGTCTTGCCATTGAAGCACAAGCCCAAATCTCCGTGTATTTGTAATATATTTCTTAATCATTGCAAATTAAATTCAGAATTTGTCCTCGCAATAAAACCACCAAGCATACAAAACATACAATCCACCTGTGGTTAGATGTCTTGGTTCACTTATTATGTTTCCACACAAAAAAATGGACTATGCATGCAAAAGACCCTAGATCAAAATGTCAAATGGGTTTTTGAATGCCTATAATGCATACTGGTATGATGAAAGTTTTCTAACTGTACCATTTCTAGAATTATATTCTTCCCTAGTGGGCTAAGCCAACATGAAGAGAACACTGCCAATCCTGATTTTACAACTCACAAAGTTCCTTGTGATGAATGATACATTATTGCATTTCAGGCACATGGAATGAGTTTCCTGTTTATTTTGGTTCACCTAAAGCAGGGCAAATATACACAAGAATTGTTAGGCTTTTAAAAAATGAAATTAACTTGGAAGGAAAGAAAAGAATCTTAATATATTATAGCAGTGATCTAGATTTGTTGGTCTACTCTAGCAGTTGAATTGTAGTTGTACAATTACAGCTTTCTTGTACAACTGCAGTCTTCAGGTACATCCTGAAGGACACCAGAATAAATCATACAATATCATATTGGGCAGTATGCCCTAAGATCCAAGTTGGCTGAGGATAATAATGTTGCTAGGATTGGTCTGTTGCTTTGATTTACTTTCCTCACTGGACTCTTCCTTGGCTCTTTTCTGTTATATTAAGTCATACAATTTGATTCAAGATGTGTTGAAGTGATCTTTGCTGTGTTATCCTTCACTAATCATTCGTATTTTGAAGGTTTCTATTATTTGCAACTTATCTTTAGGTCTTTTAAAACTTACGCCACCATCTGAATAAACAGCAGGCAGATTGACAACTATGCCTTTGTATGCCTGTTTAAACATAACATAATATCAAAACTGATCAACTGCTTCTTTACTTTTATTTTGGGAATAATAGTTCCCAAAAGGAGGAAGGGGAGGGGAGTTAAGTTCAAGATTTAAAGTAAGTTTGTAAATGCAAAATCTCCAAGATTCAAAAATCTTTCCATGCATAAATCCTCCAGTAAATTTTGATTGGGAAAATTCTTTCCCACAGTTTCTCCAATTACAGCCAGCACTTTCTGCCACATTTGTTTCTGTTAAGTAGTTCATAATCCCTGGTGAGAAATTTCATTGCACTTTCTGAAGAAGAACTAAAGGGGCATTTGCTCACATTCAGATTCTAGCACTATCACATACCCCACAAAGTACTGTAAATCAGGAATAGTTACAACCCTAGATACTTCAGAAGAACTTGTAGCAGCTCAGAATTGTGACTATTTCTCTCCATTTAGGCAAAGGCTGTAGTGTTTCTAAAATAAGCTGTGTTTTTGTTAAAATAAGAAAACCTAAACTTCTTTCCAAAAATCCAGGAAAAAAACCTAAAAAAGCTGCTGTACCCATTTTCATCTTTTCCCTTGTAATTCTTCTATATACAAACACCAAGGCTGGCCCCCAACCACCAAAAGGCTACTCACTTTGAGATAAATAAATGTTAAATGGTTTCTTTTATCTTTTGGGTGGAGCAGAAAGATTGTTAGATGAAGGCAAAATGTTACTTGTCCATGCATTTCTGCCTTCAATAAATAGTTCAGGTTATCATTTTAATAATCTGAATCAATATTATATTTGTTTGTTTTTTTATATATTTATTTGTAATTTTTATTTTTTATGCCCATTTGTCACACAGTAATTCTGGGTAGCTAATAAGATATTCAGTGACGGCCACATACTACTTTCTAGTTCTGCATTATGATTAGTTCCTTATTTTGATGTGTCATTTTTAATCCTGCCTTTTAGTCTTTTTATTTTTGTGGTGAGTTAGGTACACCCAAGTGATTTTTCAAATACTGGAAAGCACATGCTAAATCTCTTTGGCTGGTGTATTCTTTGGAATGGCAGTATTAATTAACAACAGCTTCCTCAACCTTTTGGTACGTATGTACAAGTATCTAGGGATCAACCACAAATTCTAACTGCATGGATTTATGTCCACATTTACATATCCCAATAATCCTCACTTTGTACATTGCATGTGCTTGCGTTCTATGTTGTGGGCTTGTGCCTGTGTCCTTTTCTGCTTTCAGATAGTGGTGGGTGTGCTCGCAAACGTGCTGCCATGTCTGTCAAATTAACAGCGGTGAAGAGAGTTCAAAGTTCTCCAAACCTTTTGACCGCAGGTATAGCTGTTAACCATGGAATGCCACACTTCAGTATCATTGTCTTTATACAGTTGTGCATTAGAACTGAATATTAGAAATGGTAACCACAGATCCTCATAATAGTTACTGTGATGAGCCTGTCATTTCATCACTGTTCAGTGTTTTTGTTCTAATTATTAGTACCAAGCAGTCTGCTATATATAATGGATATTCCAGTTATTTAGATCGGGGTAGATTAGTCTGATATTTTAGACTTAGCACCTACTAGCATATACAATGACAAAGAATTGTGACACTTGTATTGCAAATATATGGAACATCAGACTATCCCTGGTCTAGAAAATGCAGAATAGAAATGAACCAGAAGCATAGACATTTTAATGTAGTCCTAAACATAGTACTAGAGCTTGCATACATTCCAAGCATTTATATGAAATATTAGTCTTTGAGCACATGAGAACACGCACTGTCCACACATCTAAACAATGAAAAGAAATTCTGGGTTAACTTATTTTATTCAAAGGTAGACTGTTATTTCAGAAAATAAATGCTAGCCAGAAATAAAAGCACAAATGTTCAGAATAAATGTGACATTTGATTATATTTAAATGAAAATTACATGTAATTAATACAGGTAATCCTTGTTCAGCAACCACAATTAGACTGGCAACTCAGTTGTTAAGCAAAGCAGTCACTAAGTGAAACCGCTACTGTGCTTACTCTTTTACTTTAGCTTTCCTTTGCTTTACAGACTTTTGAAAATTGTAAATGCAAGAATTGGTTGCAAAATTAATTTCTTTTATCACTGTCATAGCTGCAAATGGTCACTAATCAAGGCAGTCATTAAATAAGGACTACCTGTATTAAACAAAATGAACTTAATTCAGTTAATATCAATTATTCCATTGTAGAAAATGTTTCTTTATATTATTAAACATTCAATTCTACTACAACTTTGGGAAGGGCTGTAAGCTGCACGCAGGCTATTTTTAGGGATCACCTGAGATGCTAAGGCCACAGGTTGCACATCTCTAATGTAGAGGCTTCCTTGAATATTCAACAGAAGCCATTCCGGCAATGACACTTACTAATCATGCTGAACCATTGATTGAACTGTAATTCTGCTTAGCCCCACGCACTTTAAGGAATTATGTGAGCAGAGCCTATAACCTCAGTGAGATTCTTCCATTCAGGAAAAAAGAGAAATACTTACCCATGCCAGGATACAATATTGCCCATGACAAGGGCATTGTAATTTTTAATAAATAAATTGGTTTAAGGACAACTGTACCAAATTAGTAACATGCCCCTCTCCCCAAATTTGTGTGCTGAAGTAAAATTCTGTCTTTATTTTTTTCTATTTTGTTCAGGCAAAATGCACACTGTTTTCGATTCCTTATTGAAAAAGAGTAGAAGACAATAGGGCAAAACTAGGAAGTAGCTTTCAGGCTTCAACAATTTCACCTAGCTGAAAACAATGTAACATTTGTCATTTTCTTAGTGCCCTTTAGAACATTAGATTGAAAAGTTTTCCCTCTGGCTGATAGAAATCATAAACTCGATTTCAGATATTAACAGCTTTTAGCAATTAAATTCAACCCTTAGCTAAATGTTTGTCACAAAACTGTCAACATAGAAAAATGAAATGTGAAAAATGGAAAACAAATGTGATAACAAAATGGCAAAAGCCATATGTGAAATCATTTTGTTACAAACATTCAAAAACAATCCTGAGTTAAATGCTTTTTTAAAAACAAATACATTTGATAGTAGCCCAGAGAATTTAATCAGATAAATTATATCAGATAAATCATATTAGAAGATTAATTATAATTCCGAGTATAATTGAATAGAGCTATAGTTATTGAGTTACTATTCTTGTAGTGCAGGGGTCCCCAACCCCTGGTCCATGGAACGGTACCGGGCCCTGGCATGCCAGTAGCCGGGCCGCACAAACAAGCAAAGCCCCATCTGCAGGATGCAGGCAGCACACAAAACCACGTCCCCTCCGGTCTATGGAAAAACCTCTCTCCATGGAACCGGTCCCTGGTGCCCAAAAGGTTGGGGACCTCTGTTGTAGTGTCTTAAACTTTGCATAGGCACCAGAAGGGAAGAGTAATTCCAATAAATCAGTGAGTGTTTTGTGGTTATTTTTTAACAGGACATTTGCAAAGACATTATAGCATTGAGAAAACACAGTGTTTTTAGTACATAAACATTATTGTTCAGCTACTTTAGAGGAGTTAATTTCCACAGCTATTTTGGCTTCTTTTAAATTGATTACTAAATAATCTGTAAAATGTTTTAATATGTCTTTTACATAAGTATGGTGTTAATTTTAAAATTGATTAAACATACAGTTTTAAATGAAACATACAGTTTATACAGAGAAAGATATTACAGATTAATGTGTTCTTGCCAAAATATTGTCAATGAAAATGGAAAGAGCTTCTAGATCAGCATTTATCAACTTCAGCAACTTTTTCGGTGTTTCTCAATCTCAGCAACTTTAAGATGTATGGACTTCAACTCCCAGAATTCTCTGACTGATAAGTTGCTGAGGTTTGATAAACATTGTTCTGGATCATTTATTCTTTGTTTTTCGTGAGTGTCCCCCAAAACATTGCTGAGTCGCATGTATTTAATTTTTTTAGCAATTTGTAATCTACCCAGAGAGTTTGGATCTTGAAATAGAAGTATAATAAATATTAGTGTAATTAGTGGTAATTTTTCAGATGTACATTAATATTACTACTCTGCCACCATGGAGGTAGTTAAACCTCAGTTGATGACCTAGTTTTGTATATGAACTGACAAGTGGATTAGGATATATATGAACCAAGTTGTTGAACTCATAAATAAAAGGAAGTTTGGGCCAAGCAAAAATCAAAATCATCAAACGAAGTTATTCTGTGCTGGTTATTTTCATGTACAACTCACTGAGTTCAGTGAAGATTGTTCCCAAAATAGGCATTTAAAATTATAATATTTTAAAAAGTGTATGTTTGGTAAGTAAATTTCCCTGAATTTCAGAGACTAAAACAAGTTGTAAGAATCCTAATCTAACTCCCCATATATTAACTTCAGTATTTACTCTTTCTAGGACTTGATTCCCATTCACCAGACTCAGGTAATTTTTTAAAAATAAATTAACTACAATATTGCATGTGTTTGTATAGGAATCCATAACAAAATGTCTGTCATGGTATTTCATTGACATGCCATGACTAACATACTTCTGCCAGGATATAAGTACAGAAGGCCAGGATTTGTGTTGTCACAATGCACAAGTTTCATTTTTGTCTCATTACAGAATTTGTACTGTTTGCTGTATATATATGGAATAAGCAAGACATACTTTTCATCTAATGTTGTTTTCCTATAAATCTTACTAAAGTTGGGAATGATCTTACTATGGACAAGAAACCTTTGAATGTGTGACCTAAAAGCACTCCATTTTATATTACTGAAACTTTTTCTTCTGAGTGGCTTGCTTAGATCTAGTCGACTCATCAAGGAAGACTCCATATTTACACAACACATTGATCCACAACATTTGTGACCACATTTTAGCTAATGAATCAGACCATAAAATTGGGTTCATTGAGTAAATGATTAGGTAAATTAATCCTGGATCAAAATGTCATGTGAATGCAGCCAGTAATTTCAACATGAAGTATAGAATAGTACAGAGTAACAGAGTTGGAAGGGACCTTGTAGATCATCTAGTCCAGGGGTAGGCAACCTTGACTGGCTGAGGAATTCTGGGAGTTGAAGTCCACAAGTCATAAAAGAGCCAAGGTTGCCTACCCCTGATCTAGTCCAACCCCCTGCCCAAGCAGGAATCCCTACACCATTCTGACACCATTTTGTTATTAGAAAATAGTATAAAGCAAAAAAGAATTGCATTGGTTTAGAACGTAACTGTTTTATTTTTAGCAAAAACTTTTGAAAAAATCCTTATAATTGAAGATACAGACTTTTAAATAAGCAACTGCAGGATTTTTTTTTTAAAAATGCCATTGTCATAGACTTATTTAGATATAAAATAGATATATAGATATATATATATGGTTAGTGAGTTTTTTTAATGTATTACTGTTCTTGTCCTCTAGAGGAAGTTGTGCATTTACATTTGGGTCTTCTCTGCTATTATCTTCTCCAAGTCAGGATTGTGGCATTTTTAGAGGCATACTTTATTCTTATACCCCCAAAGATAGATTTAAATGTAGCAATGGCAATAGCACTTAGACTTATATATGACTTCATAGTGCTTTACAGTCCTCTCTAAGCAGTTTACAAAGTCAGCATATTGCCCCCAAGAATTTGGGTTCTTGTTTTACCAACCTCGGGAGGATGGAAGGCTGAGTCAACCTTGAGTTGTTCAGAGTCAAATCCTGGAGTGAGCAGTGAATTAGCATGCAGTTACTGCATTCTAACCACTGTGCCATCACTGCTCTTAAATGTAGTAATGAAAGCTATCAAACAACTATTGCAAAAGATCCATTTATCTTGTTCCTGCTTCAGACAGTTACCAATTGAAAACTAGACCCTTTAGTCTTTGGGACTCCCATGATACCAGACTAACTAGTGCACACATTCTCCTATCTTCTTCTTAGGGGTGCTGCTATAACTAGGTAATGTTTAAGGCTATCCCCTGCTGATGAAGTCTTCCTCTGATCCCTAGTCCATAGTAGACACCATCAGACTTCAGAGATTTCTAATCCAGTGTGAAATTGGTGTTTTCCATCTTCTGACCCAAGCCTGAGATACATACAAACAGTATGTGGCAGTTTGATGGCAACTATGATGACAAGAAGGGCTGGGGAACTTGTTTTTACAAGCCATGATTTTTTTTTCTGATGGGGAAGGTATATCTGCATTACCCCAACCCCCTTGCTTTTTTGGCAGGGCATTTTTTTCAACAGGGCAAGGTCAGTGAGTTAACATTGAGTTACCATCTCTAGAACCAGTCTTCCAAGCATCTTGCTCATCAACTTCACCCCACCCTGTGGATGATTTGAACCATCTGATTTATGGCAATGTAGAGCAATGTTTCTCAACCTTGGCAACTTTAAGAAGGGTGGATTTCTACTCCCAGAATTTCCCAGCCAGACTCCAAGCCACCTGCCTGAAAGTTGCCAAGAAATACTGAAGCAGAGTGATAGAGTCTCCAAGTTTCTATCAACCATCTCTCTGAATCAGGTACTACAGGTACTCCATGTCAGGAGGGAGGCTGGTAATTTCCAGTAAAACAAGAAAATATAACCTCTCCTGTTTTACTGGACTGCTCCCCCCTTAGCCCATTAGAGGCTTTCATTGTATCACCATTGTAGATCAGCCATTGCAGGTGATTCACAGGAAGGGTACATTAGTTGAAATGGAAAGCTCCAACCTACCTTAGATCAGGTTCTCCTAGCTCAGGGATCTTCAAACCTGGCACGCTGGCTGAGGAATTCTGGGAGTTGAAGTCCACAAGTCATAAAAGGGCCAAGTTTGAAGACCCCTGTCCTAGATGATTAAATCCACTGATCTAACCATCTGTCTTATTCCCATTCTCCATTAGAAAAAGTGATTAATTTTTCTGTTGGCAAGGATATTCAGCACCTTATCTTTTTTCCATAGTACACTCTTAAGAGAAAGTCCATTCACTGGCATTGTTAATGAGGTTGAACAGAGATGAGCTATGAATTTAGGCTGGCATACTTTGAAATGACTCATAGCCTGGAGAACAACCCATTAAGCCAGCTGTCTGAATGTGCCCAAAGTGTAGGAACATTCCATTTCCCAGCTGCTAGCATTTGATTAGCAGTTATATTTAAGCACAAAAAGACTTTAGAAATTTCTCCATAAGAGAAAAAAATCAAAAGGTTGTCATTTTTCCTGAACACCTATAATTTCTTTATTTTAGTGCATATGATAGGTCTCTTGACAGGTCTTTAACTGAGTCCTAATGATTTCCTCAATACCAGGTGATGGAACTTCAGGATTATAAATGGAACATGGATTTCCCACTTCTAAATAAAGGCTTAGTTCTTTGTCAAATTATAAAATGAACTGGTGGAGATGCCACTGAGAAGGACTATTATGAAAAATCAGAGTTGGGCCATTCATAAGGAAGAGGGGGTTAAGGAAGAGCAAATAATGATACCTGTATGATGACTTTATATTCATACTGTCATCTATGCCATTTTGTTTTATGAATGCTGCTTGACAAAACAGTCATTTGTCTCAGCTGAACTGTGGTGCCCAACATCGCCTCCTCATTGTTCTTTATAATAAAACTCTGTCCTACGATGCTGATTCATATGTATTTATATCCTTTCATTTTTCACATTGGTGCCACTGCTTCTACCCAAAGAGATTTTTTTTTCTTTAAAAAAATAGAACTGATTTCACTTGTTACATTATCAAAGGATTTCTGTATCAGAAATAAATTTACTTGGATTTCTTTCCACATAAAAGCTTGGAGATCATTTAACATTGGAAGTAGAGAGACACTGAATGGAGACACTAGCAGCTCCTCTCTTGCAGCAAAGGGCTTTCGAAGTGTCCGGCCAAACCTACAAGAAAAGAAATCACCAACTCAGGTAAACAGGGAGCTGTATACAGTCACACTTCCACTTTCAATGCTGTGTTTTCAAAAACATAAGGGGTTATTTCCTTTGGATGAATGTTTCCTGGATGCTATCCTAACCTTACTTATATTAGTCAGGCACACATACATCTGACATACATCTACATCTTGGCTATATGGACAAAAATTATACTACTTATACACCGTTTGTTATTATCTCCTACTCTAAATTTGTTTCCTGGAGTAAAGCATCCAGCTATGAAATGTCCTTTGACTTAAAAATACTGGCATAGACCTCTTTTTCTAAAAAAAAATAAAATAAAATCCTGCTCTATCTTATCTGATCTGATGTTTTCAATATGCATTAAACTGCAAGCCCACCGTTCTTAGTCTTGAAAATGTGACACTTGTTCAGCACCAGGTTAGGAGCAGTTGTTTTACTGAAATAATGTATGCTTCCAAAAAAGAAGCAGTTTGGAGTTTCTGGACTCAACAATTCCAGGGAAATTCTGTCTCTGTACTCTCCTGCTCAGAAGTGGGCCACAGTTTGGAAGTTCTCCTAGATATTAGAGGCATAACTGTTTAAGGAGGAAGTGGCAATTATAGCTAAGAAGACTTTTACACAAGTACAACTTGTTTGCCAATTGTGGTCTTTCCTGTAAGACCCTACTTACAGTTAGTCATGTCCTAGTCATATCCCATTTAGATATTTGTTCTGACCCAAATCACGCTGGCAAGACAGAGGTTAAGTAGAGTCCATTTATTGCACACTTAACATGGCGCCAAATGACTCACCAATGGTGTCAGTGAAGCTCAGCCCCAGCCCTCAATTTTGACTCAGTCTAAATTCCCCGGTTCCAGGAACTAAGTCCTAGCCGACCCACGAGGCAAAGAGAGAAGTAATAATATCCACAAGTACCAAGTCTGCAACACAAGTCCAGAGTTCCAGAAACCAAAGCACCATCCAAGAGTTCGAAGTCAGAGAGCCAAGTCCAAAGTTCACAAGTTTGGCTAAGAAACACAATCTAAGATTCATAAAACAGTATTCACAAAAGCTGGGAAGGCGCACATTCAAAGCAAACAGGGGTTCCTGACAAACACATCTTACTCCAGCGTCTGGTTAAATTGGCCTTTGTCAGGTGTTCCGGGTGAGGAAGAATGGGCTGCTTCTTCATAAGCAGCCTTGTTGGCCTCCTCTGCCTCCCTCCACCTGCTCTCCTCACCTGCAGATCAGGCAGGGGAGACAGCTGTTCCTTGTCAGATTTGGTCTGGAGTCTGTCATCTCTGCTTGCCCTCTGCAGCTAATCCACTGCTCAAGGCGGCTCTCCATCCAATCGGCTGCACCCCCCCCCCCATTGACACACAGCCCTGGGATTGCCCCTGGACTCTCCACTTGTTCAGAAGGGATGATGCCATCCCCGACAGATGGTACCAGTTCCAACTCCTCCTCCAAACCGGGATCCTGCATAGCCATGACACCATTCTAACACACTATACATTGGGCTGCCCTTGAAAAACAACTAAAAACTTTAGCTGCTGCAGAATGCAGCGGCCTGAGTAGAAATGAATGTATCTCAATACATTCAAGTTACCCAGGTGCTTTACAAGCTACACTGATTACCAGCTGGCTTTCACCTATAATTCAAGGTGTAGTCATTATTCGTAAGATCCTACATAATCTTCAGATCTGATATCTAAGGGACCATATTCTCTGCTAAACCAGTCAGATCAAATAGGGACAATTCATGGCAGGTCCCGGGTTTGCAGAATTGTCACCTGAGAGGCCTCGAAGGTGGGCATTCTCACTGGCTCAATTCTTTCAACTCTATCAAACTTTGCTTAGTAGAAATTCTACCTACTTTATTTTTCCAAAGTTTCAGGAAAAAAATGGCATACTTACCTCTTTCATCATGTACAGGAGATGGGTGGTCTTTGACAGGAAGGAGGCTTGCAGGCTTATGGTATTTGTATTTGTTGGAAGTTATTTTTTATCTGTATTTGTATGTACTTGAGGTTTGGGAGGTAGTTTATCTATTTGCATTGTTAGCTGCCTAGAGTGTGCAGGATGGGCAGCATACAAGAATTGTTAAGTAAATAAATTAATAATTTGTGGGGTTATGTGCATGCACACACATATGGATTTGCACCAGAATAGTTTATTTGCATGATCTGTCCCATGCACGTGCATTTTTTCCTCTCTGCCTTAACAGTTCTGATAACCAGTAGATTTGCTCTAAAAGTAAAATATTTTATACTCATGTTGTTACACAGAAAGAGTGTGTATTTGCAGTAAATTAAGTAAAAGCTACATTCAATTCAATGTTACATTTTTAAAGGTAGAGATGTAAAATGTCAATAAATATGTGCTAATTTTCCATCTAGCAAAATAAAATATTTTCTGGAAAGTTGTAGTTTGCAGCTTGATTCAAGAGCACTGATTACTATGCCAGAGTTTATATTAGTGCCTAGATTTTAAAAGACGACTCTGTTTACTTTCCTGCTAATGTTTTGCTTTGTCTCTTTTTCCTGTAATATTCTTTTGTTGTGTGGATGCTTTTGGCAAATAAGGCACCCTCCCTACTCCCTAGGAAAAAAAGTTTTGGTAGATCTGGAATATCTAATCTAAAGAAGAGTGGAAGTAACTCCTGTTCTGTAACAACCAAACAAACTAAGCCATATCCTGATGGGAACTACTCTACTAACAAGGAGTTTCTTCAGAGGACAATTTATTCTAAAAAGTCTAACACAAAAATGTCTTGCACACAAAAAAGCATGAAACCACTGGCCTCAGTTTCTAGCACAAAAACAATAGCTGGCATTAGAACTATTGTTCATCAAGGCCACAAACAGCCTCAGAAACGTAGAGTTTCTACCCTGAAATTAACTCAGGCACAAAATGCATCTAGTAGTGTTCCTTCTCATACACAGCAAATGCCTGAGTCTGGTGGTGCCTCAGCAGCTCCATGGAGGTCTGCCTCACCTGTCTGTAACCCCGTGCCTGAGATACACAAAGCATCTCTCTCCATTCAGATAGCTCCCATCCCTGAATGCCAACATCATCCATCTAGATTTTCTCCAGACCCTTCAAAGATGCCAGCAGAAAATATGCAACAAATGTCTGATGCTCCGGCTGCGCAATGCCATGTGGTATATTATCTTTATCTCTTTCTCTCTCTTTTTAATTTTAGCTCTTTCTTGTATCACCTAACTCTTTTCTCTTTAGCGTACTCACGTGATTCTCACAATGACCACAAATCCTGGGTAAAACTACCTGTCACAATAATGAAAGATCTGTATTATTATTATTATTATTATTATTATTATTATTATTATTATTATTATTATTATTATTATTATTATTATTATTATTATTATTATTATTATTTCCAAATACATTTCCAGCCCATCTTAGTCCAAGGAAAGAAGAGAGACAAAGAACATAAAATGTTTCAGTCATAGAAAGAAAACATTTTCCTGCGTTCTAAATAGGGCAAAGTTGTGATCAATAGAAAAGAGGCTCCATCGAAAAAACACATCATAAACTTTCTGATTATCACTAATTAACAGCAATGCCCATGTTTAAAGGCAGTGCACAGAATCAAAAGAGACATCTCTGGTATCCTAAAGCTACATGGAAAGTTCACCTATCCCTTTCCCACACAGTTATTTGCATTTAAAAGTTGGGAGACACACCAATATGGCATTTCATTAAGAAGAAGGATTTTGTGCTGAACTAGACAATCAATGAAATTTTACAGAAATATTTGGTATAGGAGTATTTTGAACAGCACTTGTCCTGTCTATGTCCTGTGTTCTGTACTATTAAAAGGGACACTTTCATATTTCCCCTTTTGTTGCACTGAAGTGATAAAAGAGAGAAAGGGCAGGTACACATACATTTTTGACATTTCTCCATAAAGCTCTCAATTCTCCGGGGAAGGTTGCAAACTGAATAGTATTTTATGCATTTATTTTGAATGAATAGGAATTAACTGTTAATAGCACACAAGTGGATGTGGGCATATTTCACTTAAGGCTGCTGCAGTAGTTAGGTCTTTGGCAGAGAAGCACAAGTTTTAAATAGTTCCTATTTATGCATCAAGAGGAAATACCAGACTAACCAATACAGTATAACTGACTAAAAACAGGATCCTTTTATAGGTCCAATAGTTGGCACCCTTCTTATTTTAAAATTGTTTTAACACTTTATGTTTAAAGTGTACTTAATCATGTCTGACTCTGAGATTTAGTATTTCTCAGAAGAATAATTCATGGCAAGATGGAAATAATACATAAAGCATTTTGATGAATGAAGGAGTTTAAGATTAACAGTTAATTAGTTATATGCCATTAAGTCAGATTCAGTGCCTGGTGACTGCATGGACAAATGCTTACCATATTGACCTTCTTTCAAATTAACTCATAGCTGTTCCAAGACCATTCTGCTAATCATTTTGATCCTGTTAATTTATGTTATCTTTTGTTGACTTCTGTTATTCTTCTCTCAGTCTTCCAGTCATAATATTTTTGAAGTTTCTGCTTTCTAATTATCATATCAAGTGAGCAGTCAGTTTTTATTGGTTCAAGGCTGGTTGACTTAGTCTTCCTGAGGATCATGCTGCTCTTAGCAACTTACTTCAGAGTCATAATTCATTGGTTTCCATTTTCTTTCACCCATCTTTCTTAAGTGTCCAGATTTCATATCTTTCAACTGGAAAGACCATTGCTGTAACTAATTTTTTATTGCAATTTAACTGTATTCCTCTTTCATGACCTTGTCTAAGTTCCTTATTGCATTATTCCAGAAAATTAATCTCTACACTTTTAGCATGTTTTCTGTCTTTATTCTTGAGGCCCCCCCCCAATAAAAACTATCTATTATGTTTCTTTAAGATTAAATTTACTGTTGTCTTCTTCATATTTAGTATTAACCCAGATTTTTCACTTTCCATTTTCACGTTCAGAATTAAATCTCCTAAGTCTCCTTTACGTTCAGCTGACAAGGGTTCCCAT